CCCTCCACTGGACACCAACTAACTATTTAAGTTGATTTGCATACAAAGCAGAGCTTGTAACATGATAGCTATTCATAAAGGGTGTTTTTTTTTACTTTTCATATAATACAGTAGTCACACAATGAGGCAGTTCATATTTGTCTCAGTGAATCATTAATTTTTGACAGACACCTGTACAAAATACTTGGACAAAAGCCAGCTAAGATTTTCTGTTATCTTGCATGTTTTATCAATCTATTCACGTCTAAATGCAGCACTTTTTTTTGCGATGAGGCATTTGTTTTAATAATAAAATATCTGAATTACTTTGAATAAAGCTAGAAATTATGTCCCTTAAAATAATTAAACAAATAAGGCACCAATGTTTTTGTAAGATATTTACATCTTTAAAGGACATTCGGTAGACTGATTCCCCACTGTTGGTTCAACCTCAAAACTTGTTTGTATTCAAAATTAATAATGACAATGCATATTTATATTGAAACAAACTATGATAAAGGGAATTATATTATATAACAAAGGGCAAGGTCACCAGAGTTCAACTATGTTTTTTTCTTTTATTAAACGGTGACTTACATGTGTATACCTATACGACCTTGTTTTTTTTTATTAAATCACATTTTTATTTCAAGAAGAAACAGCTTTTTAAAAAATAATTTACAAGTAACGAAAATCCCGGGAATGTGCACTTCGGCTAAGCCCCTCTGAGCCAAAACAATAACGTTTGTAGCTTAATCCCGCAAATAAATAACGCATGTCAAATGACCGGATTCACTCACTCATCGCATTGCATCGCTTCTCTCTACTATATATTACTGTTCATTTATTTTGTATTGACCAATTTTATTTTGAAAAATGGCACGGGAAACCTGAAAGTTTCTGAATAGCAGAAAGCATATTTTTTACCAGGGTTCTCCCCAGCAGACAGAGAGTGTTGGACGATATGAATATTCATGAGCTCATTAATATGCATGAACTCGTTAATATTTAAAATGGCCACAGGGAATGAGTATTTCTTTCAACAGGAGTCAAAATACTAGCGAGAAGACAAGTCATATGTAATGATATTTATTATACAGTATGGAAGATTACAACACAACACAGGATAAATAATACACAAACAAATCATCTTTGAAGACATGATGCATAACAAATTGAAGGCACAAAATAATTACTACAGTTACAATATGAAATATTTTTTTAAATTAATGTTGTTTTATGAATTCAGCCAAAATAAAATATTGTTTCAAAAAAAGTACATCTATAACTTAGTTTCTGTATTTTTGTTTTGAGAAAAATCAATAGCTACTGGAAATTTAATGTTTGTATTTTTTGTTTTAAAAAAAATGTTGTAGCCAAACGAAAATATTAAAGTGTGAAAAAATTCGTAATATTTTGTAATAAAGGCAGTCAAATTGGTTTGTTGAAATCTACACGCTTACTACTTCAACGATATGCGTCTATTTTTCATCTCCACTCATCTCTTCACGGCACTTGAATAGTTGTATGTGTCCACAGATGGACCGTGTTCACAGATGAACCGTCAACACCAATTCTAATTAAACTGTCAAGACTGTCGTGACCCAGGCGATTTTGTGGAATTGTTTTTACCAATTTTAATTGGGAAAAAGTTCTCTCAGAGCTGGCGGTATGGCATAGCAGAATGCGATATATCTTGGCAAGACGATCTTTGGAAATCCGAATTACAGCGATGGTGTTGTACATAAGACATCGACGACGGCGCTAGGTTTCAGATCTGGTAGGTGTAAAATGGTGTCCTTTAAATAACTTCATTCACGCGTCTGCTGTAATGTCAGGCTGCTCCTCGCGTTGGAGAAAATGACGAGACAGTTCTCTCACATCGGCGTTGCCATATGTAGTCTAGCTATCTTGGTGTAAACTATCGGGGTTGAATATACTAAAATGTCAGAGGATACCGCTATCTTTGTCTAGGAATCGTTGTTCGATGTTTGCGATCAATGTACTTCCTTCGGACACTGTTCTTGAAAAATTGCATCATTGGCACGTGTTTTCACTGTGATATCAGATTGTTGCAATCTGTTGATCAAGTCGGGTAACTGCTGCAGGTTTTTGCTGGCGTTGTGCTTCATGTTGGATATTATAGTAATTGTAGAACGGAACAATGGTTTCATACTACTATATTCAAACTTGCTGGCTTGAAATGCCTTAGAAAGCCTGCGCACGTGTGGCAAGAGGTCGCACATTAGCAACATTGTAGCAATGAAGCGCCAGGACAACATAAGATTTTAGAGTTCAACTTCTTTTGCATCACTGCATTCCTCTCCTTCACAGTCAAGACTCATCAACACGGAAGCAAAAATATTCTTCAATCTGGTTACTGACAGATCGTCACTGAGCCAGCGTGTAGATGATGGTTGAAATAATTTTAGTTCTTGCTCTTGTAGCGTAGTCTGAATAGCACTGAGTCCCGCAGATCGAACAGCACTGGTGTCAAAATAGTCATATAATTGACGTAAAATCAACACGAATTTCTTTACGTACGGTACTGTATTTGCGGCTTGTGATGATGCTAGTTGCAAACGGTGCACACAACTGTGAATTCCGATTGCAGTAGTAGCTATTTTCTGCAATGGTTTTACAACACCAGATTGCTTGCTGGTCATAACAGCAGCGCCGTCTGTTCCCACGCCAACCAATTTCTCGAAATCGAGCTCATTTTTCCGGAAATACGTTGTCACGTGCCTGGTGATGTTTTCTGCGTTAAATGTTACAGTATTAATGTCGTCAGCGTCTGGTTTCAGTGGCTCGACCATCTTCAAAAATTTTACACATAAATGTCCAGTTGAGTACCTACAGTTTAATGTTAATTGTTTGCCGACACTCACATCGGTGATCTCGTCAGCATAATTGAATAAAACTCTGACTGCTTCAGCTCGTTGATTGTTTTGTCTTTTAGCATTGATGATAAAATAATTATCATTTCGTGCATGGATCTCTCGCTGCAATATGCGACACTCTTACTGACGAGTAAACAGGGATCTCGCTAGCCCAACGTGAGTGCAGGTCGGTCATAAATATTAATGACCTATATGAATATTAACTATCAATGAATATTAATGAGTTCGATCGCAATTAAGACATTATGTTTCACAATTTAGAAGCGTTTGA